CCCCAAAACCCCAAAACCCCAAAACCCCGAATCATAAAATCTGTTGCAATAGGATTGATTAATTTAATTGAATAATTTAAGGCATTATTTAAAATGATAAGTGAGAAAAAAGTACTCTATTTTTATGACCTCCCAAGAATGGAAATGTCTAAACTTTCAGCCTGCATTTGGATTAAAATTAGAGAAATAGATATATCCTATTTATTTTCGAACTAGCCTGAATTTTAGAACCATAAGGACAAAAACTACTTATATACTGCAAAAATGTTGATTTCAAATGATGATAGAATGAATAATCTGAAATTGAATCAGGATGAAGATTTATATGATAAGGTATGTAGACTCATGAAATATTTTGAAATTGATAATTAACCTTGTCGTTTACTTCCTAAAATACCAGATTTGAGTTGGAAAAAATTTTCATGTTGAGTTATTGTTAGAGGATTAAATAATAATGTTACTAGTTAAGAATTGGAACAAAGAATGATTGATTTACTTGATTGTAAGGATGCTGTTTTAATGGCTAAAGTTTCAAGAGATCAGCATTTAAAATCTCGAGGATATGGATATGTAACTTTTAAGAATAGTGAGTTGGCTTTAAATGCTACATAATTGACAAAATCAAAATAAACGAGTTGGTAAATTGCTCAGCAATGGCCTGTAATTAGAGAATGCAAAAAAACTGGATATGGTATTGTCAATGTAATGAATTTCCCCTAGTTATGGAATGAAGATTGCATATAGAAGATTTTTTAAAGCTTCAGAAAGATCTCAATGACTAAAATTAATAGAGAGTTAAATGGAGCATCTACTTTATTCGCAGTAATTCAATACCAGGATCCTAGAAATGATGGTATATAATGTGCTTTAAGATCAGTCAAAGGTTTGAATGATTTCGAAATGGAAGAGCACACGCTTAATGTTAAGGTACCCTCTGAATTTCTAGCAGAATATCAAACTAAAGCATTAGAAATTTTACAATAATTCAATAAAAAAGATTCGGACTACAAGTAAAACGTTAATAAATTCATCTTATACTACATTAAATAACTGGTAGGGGAGAAATATGCATCTGAGATCATAAATAGGTTCAGTACCATGCTTATTAACCAACTACTTGATGAAAATCTTTAAAATATATTAGATTTAAGCAATTTAGCTGATAGAGTATGAATACCTCTATCTCTTATATAGATTGAAAGAAATGCTTCTTTACAAATAAAAAACTTTTCACAGCAAAATTAATAAAACTTTTGTAGACCAAGATAATTGTATTCGATAAATGACTATTAAAACTAGCTGAAAAATTATGAAGTAGACATAAAACTATAGTGCTAGATTTCTATTAAAGAAAAACAAAATCAAGGATTAGTCAGTCTTAATAAGGGGATATAAATTATTAAAAATAAACCTATAGAAAGCAATCTCTAATAAAATAGTGTGGCATAATCATATCAAATAACTTATTAAACTAACTAACAAAATATTCTCTCGCAATTGCCCAACATGATTATTAATCTTTAGGAAGATATAATTCAAGGATAATCATCTTAATAAAACGAAGATCAGCTTATTAAACTTTAATTATGAAATTCAAACATGATTAATTATGAATTTGATTAAAAACATTAATTCTAAATTTTTATAAGAAATTAGATCATGGGGGTTTTGGGGTTTTGGGG